AAACCCTAAACCCTAAACCGCCCCTAACCCTAAACCCTAAACCGTAAACCCTAAAGCTCTACGCTTCCCCTCGACCCCCCCCCATTGAGGCCAAAGCCCCATAGGCCTCGGCTTCGACCTGAGCCCCGGCTCTAGGGTTTAGGGTTTAGGGTTTAGGGTTTAGGGTTTAGGGTTTAGGGTTTAGGGTTTAGGGTTAGGGTTTAGGGTTGTTTAGGGTTCAGGGTGAGGGCTTAGGGTTGTTCAGGGTTTAGGGTTGGGATGTTCCCCCTTATACTAACAGTCTTCAATAGGGATTGTACTAGGGGGGGTGCCATAATCCCGATGAAGGACTGTGAGCAGAAGGGGGAACATCCCAAGTTTAGGGTTTAGGGTTCAGGGTTCGGGGTTTTAGGGCTTTAAGGGTTCAGGTGTTAGGGCTTAGAGCCTTTGGAACCCCTCATCCCTCAAAAGAATCGGCTTGGCGCGCGTGGATCCCTGAATGGCTCCAGCCCTCATGGGCTTCCTGTCGGACACACCTTCAAGAGCCCAGAAACCACATACATTGCTTTGTGGTACTTTACTATAACTTTAGATCTTTAGCCTTTTTGGGGTTATTGGGTTTCTTAATAAGGCAGGTAAAATTGTAATTTATAGCTACCCTCCTAAGTGCAGCCAAGATTGCAATGTTCCACCTTATACTGAGAGTCCTTCATAGGGAGTATAGTACCCCCATTGATATACTCCCAATTAAGAACTGTCAGGATACGGGGGAAGCATCCAATCTATACCACTTCCTCCGCAGCAACTTAGGCGTGAGCTCTTCTAGGGAGTCGAAGGACAGACTTTCAATTTGCTGAACAGCCTGCGTGCGGGGCCTCCGCAAGAAAGTTGCCGAGGCCGGCGGACGCGGCATAGCCTATTATAGGGACACCGATTTTGAAGAAATGGTGTTTGTCCTTGCCGTCTGCTACCAGACCGCGAGACCTTTTACTTGCCCGGATGAGCTGAGCTCTTCCCGGGTGGTGCTGGTCGGTAGCGACAGCTACCTGGGGAAGTCTTGCGGCCCTCGCCACCCCGAAGCTAAACCGGGTGTGCGTCTTTCGGACTTCCGAGACCCAGGAAGGCTTTAGGCTCAGTCGTAAACCCTAAAAAGGGTTTTAGGGTTTTTGGGTACGACCTTTTGGAGCGCTGCAAAGCCCGAAGCCCCAGAAGCCCGATGAAAGCCCCGCAACCCTGGGACTAGACTACGTAGGCGGACTCGGGCGTTGAGAAACCCCAGACCCGGCTGCCCGAACATCTTCCTGAGGGCTATCGCGCGCCTAAACAGGTTTAGGGGGGCGTAGGGGCTTAGGGGCTTAGGGGATGAGGGCCGAGGAACCTCAACCTCAAAGCCAACAAGAGCGATCCCAAAAGTCCAAGTCTCAAAGACGCAGACCCTTTCTCAAAAAGCTTCGGGGGGTTGTGGCCTGAGAGCTGGCGGCCTCCTGGCACCACTTGAGTGCCTTTGCGGGCCTGCCGGCCGAGACTCCCGAAGAGTTGCGAAGAGGGGGGAACATTTAGGGTTCAAAGGTGAAGGGGTTCTTACCAGGGACTCTTTTTACCCACAGTTTCGTAAGAACTACCATTAGTAGGTAGAATCCACCAAGCTGTAGGGAAAAGAGGGTCCCAGGTAGTACTTAGGGTTGAGGGGAACCTGCAGTTCGATTTTGTTCTTTCATTGGGAGGGGGGTGGGGAGAGGGGGGGGGGGGGGGGAGGGGGGGGCGGGGGAGGGGGGGGCGGAGGGGGGGGCGGAGGGGGGGGCGGAGGGGGGAGGGGGGGGGAGGGGGGGGTGGTTCCCCCAATCTGTAAATTCGGAACCCCTGGTTGTCCCGGACACATGGCTTTGCGAATATGGAGATGACGTTTGGTACACAGGGCGCATTAGCAATTTGCAGTTGTTTCGAGGGTTTAGGGTTTGGGGTCTAGGGTTTAGGGTTTAGGGTTAGGAATTCGGGTTTTAGGTTTTGGGTTTGGGGTTTAGGGCTTAGGGGTCCTCCAAGACGTCTCCAGCAGGACGAGCTGGTTCACGAAGCCTGCAGGCACCGAGGGGGTAAGCGAGCTGAACTCTTAGACGCCCTGAACTCTTGCGGGGTTTCAGGAGGCTTTTGAGGTGCAACGAGCGTTCGGGGTTTGCGGCGAGTTGGGGAAGACGCACCTTGTTAGTACGGAACGTACCCTATATACCCCCTTAACGGGTATATAGGGGGATATCAGGTACCTACTTCCCTCACTCCCTATTGAGAACCAGTAGGTCTTTTCTGTCTCAACCACAAATGACAGACTTGCAGGACTCAGAGAGATTGGGGCTGACGTCTAAGTGTTGGCCAACCCACGCAATTACCCAAAACCCCTCACTGAACCGATAACCTCCTAAACCCTAAACCCTAAACTGCTAGACTCCTAAACCCTAAACCCCAAACCCTAAACCCTAAACCCTAAACCCTAGCCCTAAACCCTAAACCCCTCGGCCCCCAGACCCGACAAGCCCTGGAAGTCCTCGTTGGAGGAGTCTGGATCGAGCCCTGGCATCGCCAACTGCGCTGCACAGTGGCCGCCGCCCGGCTCCAGTCCTCTCGGCCTAGGGTTTAGGGTTTAGGGTTTAGGGTTTAGGGTTTAGGGTTTAGGGTTTAGGGTTTAAGGTTTAGGGTTAGGGTTCAGGGTTTAACGTTTAACGTTTAGGGTTTAGGGTTTAAGGTTTAGGGTTTAGGGTTTAGGGTTTAGGGTTTAGGGTGCTTGTCCAGGGAACCCCAAAGCCAACAACTTCTTACTGAAGTCCCTGTACAGATAAGCAGGGGAACCCAAACCCTTTCTAGGTTTAGGGGCTGCTGTTCAGCCTTGTGGGGCTCACTGGTGTCTATGGTCCCTCGTTCCTACAGCAAGGGCATCGGGTTTAGGGTTTAGGGTTTAGGGTTTAGGGCTAAACCCTAAACCCTAAACCCTAAACCCTAAACCCTAAACCCTAAACCCTAAAACCTAAACCCTAAACCCTAAACCCTAAACCCTAAACCCACCCTTAGAAAAGAGGAGGGGCCTCGGCTCTGCAGGTGTTTTTTTCTCAATGGTTTGCATACCAAAAAGCACAAGGGAAGAGTAAACATAAAACCCAAGGTCCCTAACCCCTATAAACCTTATAGGAAAAGCCCAAGGGAAGATTCAACATGAGAGTGGTGGCTTTAGGCCCCAAGCTTCCGCATTACACGTCCTCGGGGTGGAGTGTGCAGCCTTGAACCTCTTTGGGCTTCAGAAGCCCTGAAACCCTCAAACCCTACCCTAGAACCCGAAACCCTGTAAACCCCTAAACTCTATGTAAACCCTATAACCCCTACAAACCCTATAGTCCCCCTAAGCCCCAAACCCTCAAAACCTAAACCCTGAGCTCCTCAAAGACCCCCCCCCCCCCCGGCCCCGCCCCAAACCTTAAACCCTAAACCCTAAATCCTCAGCACTAAACCCTTATAACCTTTGGTCCCATACATGCAGCCAGTAAAACTTAGGGCCAGCCCCCGAACCAATGCAATCGGGTTTAGGGTTTAGGGTTTAGGGTTTAGGGTTTAGGGTTTAGGGTTTAGGGTTTAGGGTTTAGGGACTGAAGATACTGTAAAGCCTGCAAAGCTGCTGAAAGTCAGAGGCACGTATGCCGTCCACCACTGGCAGTGCAGCTGGTGCCGGGACGACGAAGAGTTGAGGCGAGTGGGTTTAGGGTTTAGGGTTTAGGGTTTAGGGTTTAGGGTTTAGGGTTTAGGGTTTAGGGTTTAGGGTTTAGGGTTTAGGGGCCCAGAAGCCCTAAGCCCTATAACCCTAAGCCCCTAAACCTAAACCTGGCTGTGGAATTCTTGCGGCTTGAGGGAGAGTTTTTTAACCCGCCGTTTCTAAACGACACAAGACATTCATCTTCACAGTTTTCGCACATGGAGCCAGAACCCTAAACCTTGAAGCTCAAACCGTTTATGTTTTTCGTTTTTTTCCTCAGTTTTTCGGGTTTTAGGGTTAGGATTCTAGGGTGTTAGAGTTTAGGTTAGAGCTGAACCCCTGAACAGCCCCAGCCACCCCGAAGTTGTCATGGACAAAGAGCCCTATGAGGCTTCAAAGTGTATCGATTGCCTGGTGGGCGAAGTCGTTGTACGTCAAGCTCCCACACCCTTCTTGGAGATTCATGGGTTAGGGTTTGGGGCTACAAATATTTAACAATGTATGTAGTTATAATATATATATATATATATATATAAACAAGAACCCACTTAAGCAATGTTTTCTGCAGAGACTTCACTTGTTTGAATTATTGCCGGCAAATAACCTAGCTTCTGGCCACCTTGAGCCTCCCAGTACGCGCCTGTATGTCCTGGCTATAGTGCCTGGGCCATCGAGCAACGAAACCTGAGAGCAGGGAGCTTTTGCAACACTCAACCCGAAACCCCAAGACACTTAGAGCCTTGAGGGGTTTAGGGTTTGGGGTTAATAAGGACTTGGGTTTGAGTAAGGTGGAGACACCAAACTGCATCCCACCCAGCCCGAACCTGATGTCGACCCCAAACCCTAAACCCTAAACCCTAAACCCCAAACCCCAAACCCCAAACCCCAAACCCCAAACCCCAAACCCCAAACCCCAAACCCTAAACCCTAAACCCTAAACCCTAAACCCTAAACCCTAAACCTAAACCCTAAACCCTGGACCCGAACATCTGCCGCCATGTGAGCGTTGTTCTGAGCTAGGGTCCTTGGTGTCGCTCATCCCGGCGCTGTAAAGGCCTCGCTGGAACGAGCGGGAAACCTGGAGCCCTCAAAAGTCTTGAGCCAAAGGGGCTACGGTGGTTTAGGGTTTAGGGTTTAGGGTTTAGGGTTAGGGTTTGGGGTTCAGGGTGGCACGTTGGACAATAGAATCCGTGAAAGGGGGCATCACTTAAACAAAAGGTCCGCTGAGGAGGCTCAGGTGGTGTAGAGGACGGGCCGCCCCCAGCTACCAGCAGGTGAGTGCCCGGGGCAGGCTGTGACGCTATTCTCCCAAGGAGATCTAGCTCTTTTCAAGCAGCGTGACATATCCACCGCCGAGCTAGTTAGAGCTGCGGAAGCTAGAGCAAACGGCGGATTGGACTTGAGAACTTCGGATGGGCTTGCGGCCGCGGACGCGGTGCGGCCAGGAGTGGAAGACATGAGGACTTCCGACACCGTGTGGACCACGACGGTGGACACTACCGCTGCCCTTCCGGACGACAAAATAGCGTTCGCCCCGGGGCCAATCGCCCTCTGCCTGAAGGGGCCGGCGCTAGGAAATTACTGCTCGGGGAGGCACCCCAGCTCCAGTACCCCCCTCCCCCATCTCTCTACCCGGGGCTCCGTGGACCAAGCAGGGACGTACAGGATGTGGGGGGCCAGTGCGAAGAGAAAGAGGCAGAGCTACAAGATAAAAAAACCGGACCCGGTGGCTCAGAGCAAGGCGTTCGCCTTCCAGATGATAGCTCTCAGAAGGCACAAGAGGGAAGCTCGCCCTCTCAACCCGGACGGCGCGCAGCGAAAGAGGGGCCACAAAACGGCCATTGACCAAGACGAGTACGCAGTCGTGCGGTGGACAGAGGAGAAAGTTTCCCCGGGGCCTGAGGCATTCCTCGGCATTCTGACCTTAGGAGAGGCGTGGAGAGCGACATCCTGGCAGACCAAAGCCTGGTGCAAACCCCTGACGCCCCCAAGAATCTCGCCGTAAGGCAGATCAGGAGGCTGAGGCTGGCGCAAGCCAAACTCGCCAGCATGTACCGGGTCGCCATCGAGCTCTTCGAGATCCAGATGCACTGGACGGTGCCAGAGACTCCTCAGCTGGCCATTTGCTCTCTTTTGCGGGCCCAGTACTCCTTTCACAGCTTGAGGGAGCGCTGCTTGTCAGGGCTCGCCATAGTGCCGGACGAAGCTACTCTTCAAGCGCCCCCGTCTTTCACAGACTGGAAAGTGGAAGTGGGGGAGACATGGTTGTCACACGTCAAGAGCGAGTTCTGCGCAGCGGTGCAAGAGCTCCAAGGCCGGACTGTGACAAAGCAAAGCCGGTTCTCGGGCGCCGACTTCGACCTCTTCGCTCACGCCCGCACCAAGGACTGGCACAAGAACTACGGGGTGCGAACGGCGTCCGGCGCGGTGGTGGCGGGCTCTGAGAGACGTCCGGCTCATTCTCTTCGACGTCATCGTGGCCGTCGTCAAAGCTCGGACAGGGGCTGAAGCCGTGAAGCAAAGCTACAAGCCTCTGGGCTTGGGGAGGACAGATCGGCGCCGGAGGTGCAGCTGATCGGCCAGGCCCGGCCTCTGGACGCTGCGGAGAGGTCGAGGTATACTTGATCGAGCTGCGCCAGATGGAGCACCCCACGTTCGCATCTGCCATGGCCCTCGCAAAGAACGCGGTGGCAGCCCAAGAACTGTGGGCGCTTTACGAGGAAGAACAAGAAGTTGCAGCGCTCGCTATGCTCTCCTCAGTTGCGGCATCCTCGTCAGGAGACGCCGGGCCTAGCGCAATCAACCCATTGGCGCCGCTCCAGGGAGCGGGGATGATGGGCTCTCCTGCTCCTCTTCAGGTCTCGAGGCCGGCAGCGTCTGCGAGAGAGGACGAAGACGCGCTGATCAGGGACACTCCCAGCCTGACTAGCCACGGCGAAGCCTCCGGCCCTTCTGAGCCTTACTCCAGCTCGTTTGCAGCCGCAGGAGCGAAACGTGGAGGCCGAGGAAGAAGCTGCGGAAGTCGGCCGCAGCGAGCGACGCTGAGGCGATCAATCGCTTGTTCCACCGGGAGCGCATGCCTCCTGCGCAGCCTAAGCCGCATTTGGGACAGGAGCAGCAACGTGGTGGGGCCGGGCGGGGACGATGTGCCTGTCGACTCCCGCAGCTATGGGAGCAAGTTGCGGAACCACGACAGGTACGTGCGGGAGCCACCGGGTGGGTGGAACTGCTTGGTGAGGAAAGCTTGGCAGTCGTATCAGAGGAAGAGGGCTAAGAAGGTGATGGGGTTCAACGATCGCCATCTCGCGCTAGTTGAGATGACGAGCGATCCCTTCCCCTTGATAAGGCAGGCGGCTGCCAACCTCTTCATCACTAACCCGCCTGCGGCTTTTGGCTTCGCGGAGGGGTGGTCGCTGGCGAGGTTCATGAACACGTTCCCCTGTGCAGCAGCCACGGCGTTCCCCAGCCTCGGGAACACCCTCATGACAACGGCCATGGGAATAGGCATGAGGCAGCAGAACGAACAGGAGGCAGCTGCTGCACCTGGGGATGAGGGGGCCGATAGGATTCGGTAGCCCCTCATCTTCGCGCTGTGTGAGAAATTAAACATGGACAAAGAGCAGATTGCAGGCTTTCTGCAAGCAATTGAGCATCATGGAGGGGAAGGCCTTGAGCAGCTGAGTGATGTCTGGGTTGCCCGACTGAAGGATTTGTTTGTGACGACATGGTTTGAGTGTCCAGGGGACGACAAGGTCGTCTGGACCAGACGCGCCCAGGCGACCCTTTAGCTGACCTCCTCTTCGCCTTTAGGGTTGCCAGCTTGCTTCGTTCTCTTCAAACGACATTTGAGTCTCATGGTTTGCTTCCTTGGTTGAACGTTGCCGGTTTGCTTCCGATGACGGCTAGCCACGGCCACTACATGCCTGCAGTGGTGGGGTCGTGGCAGGATGACGGCGTGTGTTTTGTTGCGTGTGATCATGCCGATCAGTTGCTTGAAAAGACACAGCGTGCAGGTAGGCTTGCGCGTGAGGCTTTTGCTGGACATTGTCTTGATTTGAGCTATGAAGCGGGCAAGACGGAGGCCGTATGCACCCCCATTGGCAAAGGGGCAAAAAAAGTGATGTCTGTTCTTGCTAGGCCTTCGCCGCTTCAACTTGCTTTCTTCCCTGATGAGGGGTCCGTGAGGGTTTTGCGGCTTGTTCGTGACTACAGGCACTTGGGATCTCTAGTTGATGCTGGCGGAGGTCTGGGGCCCGAGATTGGCCGCAGACTCGGTGAAGCTAAGTCGTCGGCTAAGCCTCTGTACAAACATGTATTTGGCAATGCAGACGTTGACATTCATGAGCGTCGGATCTTGTTCCGGTCGTTGGCGTTGTCGCGGGCCTTGCACAATGTTGGAGCTTGGGCTGGCTTGTCAAAGCATGAGTTGCGCTGCTGGCAGCAAGGCATTTTCGGCTTATACCGTTTCTTGGTGCCGGCGCGCGTGCTGCGTGACAGTCCCAACATAACACACGCTCAGCTTCTCCGCAGGGTAGGGCTTCCGGCTCCTGTGACCCTTTTGCGGATCGAAAGGCTGAAGATGCTTGCTCAGCTCTTGTCGACTGACAGTGCCATGGTGTGGAGCGTGCTTGAGTCCGACCTTGGTTCTTGCAGATGTTGGTTTAGCGACGTGTGGTGCGACGTTTTGTGGGTTGTTTCACATGTTCCGCGACATGGATTGGGCTTGCATTCTGCCTCTGAGAAGCTGGCAGGCCTGCAGGAGCTTGGGCGTCACCCCGCGTCTCTGCGTCGTCTTGTCAAGCGCTTATGGCTGCGGGCCTCCTGGGGGCAGGCAGAACGTGATGTGGTGCAGGTCCAACATAACATGCATGGTGACGAAGAGTTGCGTGACTGTTCTTTGTGCGGGCATGCTTGTCGAGGGAAGCGGGGTTTGGCGGCGCATCTTTCTTTGCAACATAAGGTCCTGAGCCTTCCCAAGTTTTACTTGACTAGCACCGTTTGCCCATGCTGCGCTTTGGACTTTCACAGTAGGAAAAGGGCTCTTAAACACTTGTCGCGAGGCAGTCCCACTTGCCTTCAATGGGTGCAGAGGTTTATACAACCTCTTACGATTGCAAGGATCAGGCAACTGGATGGGGCTAAGGCACGCAGGTCCTGGAGAACCTTCAGGCCTGCTGAAACCGCCCATCCGATTATTGACCTTGCCGAGTTAGATCCGGAGGACATTGTGTTACCTAACACTTTGTCGGACTTTATGTGAAGATCACGGGATCTAACCAAATTAGTTTCTTGCATGTTTTTGTTCATCCTGCAGTGACGCTGACACTTCTATGAGGAGAGAGAGAGAGAGAGAGAGAGAGAGAGAAACCCTAAACCCTAAACCCTAAACCCTAAGCCCCCCCCCCCCACACACATGGCAAGGCGCGAAGTGCCACTTGAAGAGCTCCTGGCGCAGGAGCCTGTTGAGCATTCAGGGGCTCACTGTCTGGGTCTCTAGGGTTCCTAGGAGCATCGTTGAAACGAGAGTGAGGCAGAAAACACAGAGGGAGAGGGAGAGGGAGAGGGAGAGGGAGAGGGAGAGGGAGAGGGAGAGGGAGAGGGGAGAGGGAGAGGAGAGAGGAGAGAGGAGAGAGAGAGAGAGAGAGAGAGGGAGAGGGAGAGGGAGAGGGAGAGGGAGAGGGAGAGGTAGAGAGAGGGAGGGAGGGAGGGAGGGAGGGAGGGAGGGAGGGACTAGGACCCTAAACCCTAAGCCCTAAACCCTAAACCCTAAACCCTAACCCCTAAATCCTAAACCCTGCTCTGGCTTTGGGCGCTCCTCTGAGTCTTTGCCTGAGCCCTTCCCGCGGCACTGAAGCATCAGAGACAGCCCCCGGTTTTCAATTCCCGAACCTATCAACCTATCAAACACGCCCCCCAGGGGCGGGAATCACCCTGAAGCCAAACCTTGCCAAACCTTAAACCCTGTAACCCTATGTAGAGCCTGAACCCTATATAGACCCTAATAGCCCTCAAGCCAAAATACCTTAAAATCTTAAACCCTACGTAAACCCCAAACTATTGAGGGTACATAGGCCCCCATTCCCTTCCTCGACGCCTGATGGGGTGGTCCAAGCTCCCCTGAGGAACTCCCTGGCAATGCGACAGCCTCCCAGAGAGCAGTCGAAAATCTGGCGCTGCACATGGGGCTGTGCGGGTTGCAAGTCCGAATTTGCACTTCGGGGCTGCATTGGGGCCACTAGGGTATTTCGGGGCTATATTGGCTAAGGTGCTGGGGCTTATATATGGGCCCTTTGTGCAGAAGCCCTTACTTCCAGTAATGGTGTAAGCACCTGGCCCCCCCCCCCTCCCCCCCGCTTCCCCCCCAACCACCATCCCCCCCCACCCCCCCCCAACCACCCACCCCCCCCCTTTCAAAACCCTCGAAGTCGTGGCAGATTGCTCTGGACTCCACCACGCCGGTGCTCCTGTGCGCTGCCATTCAGGGGGGAGATGATTGGTTTGGGGTTGAGGGTTGAGGGTTAAACAGGGGTCCAGGGTTTAGTTTAGGGTTCAAGGAGGAGGGTTCATGGCTTGCCCAAGCCCTTAAGCCAAGCTTGACGAATTCAGGCAAAACGGGTTTAGGTAGGGTTTAGGGTTTAGGGTTTAGGGTTTTAGGCCCTTGAGGCGTCTGTGGGCTGATTGCTGAGGGACTGGTGGGTGAGGGATGAAAGCAGGTACTCCAGCTTTAGGTGTGGATTGGGGTAATTACTTAGGGTCATGGGCTCGAGGGCGAGGGGTGCTGGTATCCAAGACCTCTACAGGAGGGTTTAGGGTTTAGGGTTTAGGGTTTAGGGTCACGAGCTTCAGAGGGATGTTGTTGCTCTGACCTCTCTAAATTTCGGGTTGCATGTACAACCCATGGTCTCTGCCCTGTCCACCCAAAACCCTGAATTAGGGTTTAGGGTTTAGGATTTAGGTTTTTAGGGTTTAGGGTTTCGGGTTTAGCGTATTCGGTAGGGCTTGGGGTCCTTTGCTGTTCCACGTGAGCAACGATGATGTCGTTTGGCCACAGTGGTGCCAGCGAGAGCCCAAACCCTTAGTCTTAGACCTTACTGCAAGACCCAAAAACAAGAAGCTAACACCGTACTCGCTCTCGAAGATATGATCAGAGCTGCGAGGTATGATGTGGGAGTTTACGAAAACAAGGGACCCCGAATATAGACCCCCATAAGAAGGATGCCCTTATAAGAAAGGACCCCAAGAACTACTTTGGGGCCCAAGTATATAATGTTCAGGTACATGGACCCTTAGGGATAAGTATGTAGTCTCAGGTTTCCTTTCTTGGGGTGTGAAGTTTGGAAGGCCTTAGAAAAAGTTGGAGAATGTGCCGGGCCTTATACGCGATAGACCCTTCTATACCCTGCACCCATGAAACACACACTGCAATAGACCCTGTGAACCCCTAAGCCCTAAACCCTAAAAAGGCCCTAAACCCCAAATCCTAAATACCCTAACCTCGAAAGACCCTTGACCCTAAAAAACCCAAACCCGAAGAACCCGAAACCCTAAAAGCCCTTAAACAACTAAACCCTAGAAACCCCAAACCCTGACAACCCTGTAAACCCTAAGCCCTTAAACAACTAAACCCTAGAAACCCCAAACCCTGAAAACCCTAAAACCCAAAACCCTAAGCCCTGGAATCCCCAAACCCCAAACCCTAAAAACCCTAAGCCCTGGAACCCGTACTTTTCGAGTCTCTTGCAACGCGCAAGGTACGATGAGGGGCAGAGCGAAGCCAGCAGTGCGCTGTGTCGGAGTAGGCCCGGCTGGGTTTAGGGTTTAGGGTTTAGGGCTTAGGATTTAAAGTGTTTTGAGGGTTTTAAGGGTTGTAAGTGTTTTGGGCTTTTGGTTTAGGGTTTGGGAGTTCTGGTGGTCAGAAACCCAAGGTGTCGAAATGGGCACGCGCTATTCTTGCACATCCCTCGTCAAGGCACAGGATCGCACCTGCTTTACTTGCATCCCATTTCGACCAAGACATTTCCCAAAAAACAGTTACCCTAAACCCTAAACCCCTAACATGCCCCAAACTACTCTACTCCGTAAGATCGGGACCCCAACAGGATACCCCTGTGTTTGGAAGCCAACAAGTCGATTTGGGAGTTTACGAACATAAGGGACCCCCAAAAAAAGACCCCCAAATAGTAGGATCCGCTTAAAATAAGGGCCCCAATAAGGTACCCCCGTATTATCGTAAACCCCCATGTTAATGAACCGTTCAAGGACTCAACACCCAGCGGCGGCAATACTCATCACCCCGAAAACCCCTCTACCCTAAACCCGAAACTCCAAACCCTAAACCCTAAATCCTAACCCGAAACTCCAAACCTTTAGGGTTTAGGGTTTAGGGTTTAGGGGTTAGGGGTTTAGGGTTTAGGGCAGCCCTATGAAGCTGCCCGAAAACCGAACTGGCAGGGCCGACTTGCGCGAGCGGTATCCGAAGCCGGGCTGCTCAGACAGGGCCATGGGTTCCCCTAAACCCTACACCCTAAACCCTAAACCCTAAACCCTAAACCCTAAACCCTAAACCCTAAACCCTAAACCCTAAACCCTAAACCCTAAACCCTAAACCCTAAACCCTAAAACCCTAAACCCTAAACCCTAAACCCCTAATTAAACCCTGAACCCTGAACCCCAAAACCCCTAAACCCCTAAACCCTGATTATCTAGACTAGGACCCGGAGTAGGCCCTCTTGTCTTTTATTTCGGGTTGGGGTTCCCTTACAATCCGCTTTAACCCAAAAAGGGTACCCTCTTTAATTCCTGGGTTATTCCTGGGTCTGCGGTAGGTTCCCTGGGTGGAGCCTTATGAAGTAGGGTACACAGAACAGGGACCATACTGCCAGTATAGTTCCATCTCAACCCAAACCCTGAAGCCTTTAAGCCTTAAACCTTATGAGTCCTGAACCCTAAACCCCAGGATTCAAGAAGAGGAGAAAGCCGGATTTCCGTAAGGCGTGTCGAAATGTTGGGTGGGTTTATGGCGGGGAGCCCATGCGGCTACTGGGCTCGTAGTAGGGCTTAGAGTTTAGGGTGGAGATGGTGGAGCCAAAGCACCATAGGTGTAGCGGTGTTGACCCATTGTCCCGAACACAATCATAAACATACGAAAGCTCACGATCACGGAGCAGTTGATATTGCATGGTTTGGTCTTGGGAGGTTGGCGTTACAGGGCCTACCCTACGCAGGGTTCAGGCTTTGTAGGGTTTTGGGGGTTTATTAGGGTTTGGGGTTTAGGGACCCTAAACCCTCAACCGCGGCACGAGGCTAGAATCGCAGCTCTCGCTCGCCTGCAGCTTTGCCCCTTCGCCAGGAATAAGGGTTGTTTAGAGTTTAGGGTTTAGGGTCTAGGGTTGAGGGTTGAGGGTTTAGGGTTTAGGGTTGAGGGTTAGGGTTAAGAAGGCCCCTTTCAGGCTCCTTTCCCAGTTCCGAACTTGTGGAAAACTCAAGGGCCTTCATGAAGGCTCGGGTTGCCGGGGGTGCTTAGGGTTTAGGGTTTAGGGTTAAGGGTTTAGGGTTTAGGGTTTAGGGTTTAGGGTTTACCGAACTGTTACCGTGCACTTTAAGTCATTCGGGTGCCACATCTGGCCCTCCTTAAGCTCCCAACTGTGATCTGATGATGCCTGACGTAGCCAATACATGAACTTTAAGGGTTTAGGGTTTAGGGTTTAGGGTTTAGGGTTTAGGGTTTAGGGTTTAGGGTTTAGGGTTCCTTAGTTTGTAGGAAGAGTGAAATTGCACTTGTTGGGTTTCCTTATTTGGTAGGAATAGGGAAGTTTTACCTTGATATTCCGCGGCTATTGGAGAAGTAAGAGGTCAGGGCATGTAACCGGCGGAAGGCACCGAAGCTGCCGAGATTGAAGCCGCGTTGCTCAAACTCACAGTCGCAGGGGGGGCCCCTAGTCACCTAGTCTCTGAATAATAAGGACCCCAATAAGGTACCCCCCCTAAACCCTAAACCCTAATGCTCTTTCTGCTGATCCTTGCGTCCTTCGCGGCCAGCGGGTACGCAGAGGTGCTTTGCTTTTCGGACTCAGTTCCCGCGTCGAGGCGACAGTACATTCAGAATGAGGAGGGCGTTGCGATCCCGTTTCTTGGTAGCCCAGTGGTACCCTTCCCCCTTTTTTCTTTTCAAGGTTCCCTTATAAAGGTAACCAACCCACAAACAAGGTGCTCTTAAAAACACGATGGTTCCTGGGCTACCAATCTACGTACCTAAACCCTAAACCCTAAACCCTAAACCCTAAACCCTAAACCCTCAACCCTCAACCCTGAACCCTAAACCCTAAACCCTAACCCCTAAACCCTAAACCCTGAACCGCCCAAGGATTAAAATTGGGTCCTTCCGCTGGAACTTGGCCGTCCAAGTGAGCGTGCTTGCAGATCTCCTCATCTCGGAGAAGCTCGGGTATCATGTGGCGCCCGTTGAGTTCCTGGGCTTCCCCTCCTTTCAGGACGTGTATCCTAAAGAAAGCCCTAAACCCTAAACCCTAAACCCTAAGCCCTAAGCCCTAAGCCCTAAGCCCTAAGCCCTAAGCCCTAAGCCCTAAGCCCTAAACCCTAAACCCTAAACCCTAAACCCTAAACCCTAAACCCTAAACCCTAAACCCTAAACCCTAAACCCTAAACCCTTCCTTTCAGGACCTTGTCCTCAAGCTGGCTGGCTGCACCTCGACACTCTGCAACGAAACTGCGGACGCGGTCCACATCGTTGTCGACTCCTTCGCTGAAGATGCAGTGACCAGGACCCGGAGTTGGCCCTCTTGTCTGGGGTTTAGGGTTTAGGGTTTAGGGTTTAGGGTTTGGGGTTCCCTTATAATCCGCTTTAACCCAAAAAGGGTACCCTCTTTTAAATTCCCCAGGTTATAGCTGAATGAGTACGCTCTACGTTTTGGGATACGAGAATCCCCTGTAGAACTGAAAGTGTACACGTTTTGGGGGCTTCTGAACTCAGCAACTAAGGTGACCATGGAGTCGTTCCGAGCTGCGCAGCCTGAGCGAGCTCCAGAAAACTTAGGTGGGATGGGGTACGTCTCTTGATCGCCCTATGGTACCCGCTTGCCCCCCCTTTTCTTTTTGGGCTGTTGCTTTTTAGGGTTCCCGTTTATGAAGTAGTCCTAAACCCTAAGCCCCAAACCCTAAACCCTAAACCCTAAACCCTACACCCTAAACCCTAAACCCTAAACCCTAAACCCACTTAGAGTACCCCAATCCCTTTGCTATGATATGGGTGGCTGGGCTACTAAGGTCTTCAGCTGGGGCATTTATGTTACAGGTTCAGTTCGGGATGCAGCGTTTCGAGAAGCGGGACTGCCTTTGGAGTACTACAGGAACTACGTTACGGGTTTCAATCGCCCACACCGGTTTTTCCACAGCTTATCCGACCTTGACGGCGAAGATTTTCTCCTGTGCAATGACTCCACGACCTATGGGGACGATTTTACGAACGCGAGGCTGTGGGCAAATTATGTGCAATGGACTGGAGATACTGACGGAGTGATTGAGACAAGCGGTGGATATGTGGCCAAGTGCCCTGATGGACGTTTCTGGCTCTCCCCCGCATGTCGAGGCAACTCTTCGGAATGCATTCCGGTCCTAAGCGCATTTGCCACTCTGGCCAACATGCTGCAGTGGGCAACTGTGCACAGCCTCCCATTTGCTATTGGGCGGCCCCCAAATTTCCCCAAGTTCCTGGATCTTGCGCGGACGTACGATGTCTTGTTCTACTACTGGGAGCCAGATGACACTCTGGCACTGGCGGATCTGCAGGTCTCCCGGCTTGTGCTTCCACCGAACAACGTCGCGGAGTACAAGGAGGGTAACTTCAGGACGGCAGCAGCACCTTGGTTCATATACCTCAATGGTAATTGTAGTATAGGGTATATGACCCCCCACTTTTCGGGTTCATGTCGTCCCCAAGGCAGGCACCAACTTGTACAAGTACGGAAGCTCTTTGCTGGCGCGCTTTGCACCTCGAGTGAGGGGATTGGTTCAAGGGATCGCAACCAACGAAGCTGCCATATGGAATCTGGCCACCTCAATCTCTATGGGACAGGGCCAAGAGCTTGGGGACGTCTTCTTTACGAATCAGTCGGAAGCCCGCAGGCAGATGTGCGAGTGGGCGAAGTCGAACCTAGGCGGGCCCAATTGTGATACTTTTCGCTGTTTTCCCTTCTTGGGAATAAGAGGAGAAGCCCTAAGATTTAGGGAATCGGAATATCTTTCACGAGGGTTTTCTGTATCAGGGCCATCCCAGGAACCGAGATGTCTGGGAGCCATGGCTCCCCATTGAAACCAACTGCATCCTTGGTTTTGGCTTGGTCAACGCAGAGGATGACCATGCACCTTGGTCTGTTTAGGGTTTAGGGTGTAGGGTTTAGGGTTTAGGGTTTAGGGTGTAGGGTTTAGGCCCACAGCAAGCACCTCGAAGGGCCTTATAGGGCCATAGGGCTACCTAGAGCGTCTTGGGAGGAGAGCTGATGAAGGGAGAACGGGTCTTTCTGTTTCGGGCCCGATTTTGACCAGGTCGCTTCTCGTGAAGAAGCCACGCGATGCAGTCTTTGTCCTGCAGGAACGTTCTCCCAGTTCTTCGTGGATGATGTTGGGCATACTCACCGATGCACCCCGTGCCCGCCCGGCACGTCCCAAAGCGCAAGTGGCAAAGCTACATGTGGAGCTTGTGGCCTCGGTACCTTCGCAAGCAATCCTGGTCAAGCGTTGTGCTCACCTTGCGCCCGTGGTTCATATGCCGCAAGTCTTGGAATGAGCTCCTGTTTCAAGTGCGGAGATGATACTGAGCGGACAACGACGGTTCTTGCAGAGGAGGGATGGGTCGTAGTTCAAGGAGCAACCTCAAGTTCCTATTGCCGCTGCGCCCCTGGGCGATTCTTGCGGAATGGCCAGTGCCTGCCTTGTGGAGTTGGAGCCTCCTGCCCAGGCTCCGATTCTTTGGAAGTCTTACCGGGCTTCCATGCCAAGGCCCTGGAGCCGGGGCTGATTTTCAAGTGCTTTGGCCTTCCCGGCCGATGCCCGGGAGGCCTGCCGGGTACTTGCGCTCCTGGTAGGGATGCTGGGAGCCCCGGATGCAGTGAATGCCTCGAGGGCTTGCAGCCCAACGGGGCAGAATGCGCGCCCTGCTCGGCGGGAGACTATGTCCGTTTGGCTGCCTACGGTTTGCTGGTCCTTTTTGCCACTGCGGGCTTGCACCTGCTGTTCCTGGTTGGTGGACACGGCAGCAACCGCTTGCAGAGCAAGGTGGTGACAGCAGCGCTATGCTCGAGCCATCTGATCACTTACGCGCAGCTGTATGCTGTGATGAGCCAGATTCAGGCGGTGAATTGGGCCGAACCTTTCCTGAGCTTCCTAGAGCTCTTCAAGGTTTTGTCGCTTGAGACGATGTTGAGCTCTGTGTGGAGCATCAGCTGCATCACCAGCTTGACCCCCGAAGCAAACTTCCTGACCCGCACCCTTCTGGTCCCCTTGCTCCTTGGTGGTGCTTTGTATACTGTGACTTTGGATCTTTGGCCTTTTTTGGGTTTATTGGGGTTTCTTAATAAGGCAGCTAAAAGTTTGTTTTTTTCCTACCCTCCCAAGTGCAAGGTTCTTCACCTTGGGGCCCATCATCTCACACGTTGCTTTCACTCGCATGGCGAAGAAGAGCCTTGGGATGCCAGCGACGCAGCAGGCGCCCAAAGTTGCCTGGCTTTCGGGGAGCCTGGGATCCCTTTGCCTGCTCTTCTTCATCATGATGTGCTTCGTGTGCCTGGAGCCCTTTCGGTGCAACGTGCATCCCAATGGCCTTGCCACCATGCAGACGGAGCATGGCGTCTTCTGCAACTTCTTCGAGCAGCACTTGCGCTTGTGCATTGTTGGCGGGGTGGTGATGCTGATTCCTCTCGGCTTCTTAGGGCTCTCCACATGGATCGTTACGAAGGAGCTCCCCAGACGCGTGGCCAAGGGGGACACCGAGTTTGTCCGGGCGACCTCCTTCCTGACGATGAGGTTCAAGCCAGGATACGAAGCCTTCTCAGTGGCTTTCTTGCTCCGCAACTTGCTCCTAGCGGTCACGCCCATGTTCTCCTCCGCATCGGTCAGCCTCTTGATGATGGGCTCACTCTTGACAACCAGTGTGGCGATGGTAGCTTATTTCAAGCCATGGCGCTCCCTCCTCACCAGCCAGGTAGACATCTTGGGGCATCTTGTGATGCTGGTGGTCTTGTTGTTGAGTGGCTTGAGCGTCCAGGACCAGAACGATTCATCCGTCATGGTCTTCTGCACTGCCATCTCATCCTTCATGGTGGCGGTCATACTTGCGGCAGCGGTGCATTCAGTGGCACAGTACGTGAAGTCCAAGTTCCTTGGGGACGAAATGAACCCTAACAGGGTTTATGGCTCATATATCTTCATGGACCCTTAATGGTAATCATAGTAGTACAGGGTATATGACCCCCGAATTTTAGGGTTCACGTCGTCCACAAGGTTCCACAAGCCCTTCAGCTTCTTCCTTTGCCACCACAAAGCAGTGACCGCTTCATTGGCCCGATGGTTGAAGATGGAGCTCCAAGGCGAGGACAGCTACTTTTACGACATTCTGCGTTGCTGTTTCTGCTAGAGTAGATTCTTCTGTTGTCACCTAGTGACCATTCATGGTGTTCTTCTTTGCTGATCGTGCACTTGCCCTAGCATGTTACAGGCTTGTGGTGAATTCCATGACACCTGCACGGCCAAAGCTGCGTGTTCTTGCCGCGAGCGTGCAGCCTCGCATCGCGCGCCGTTCACACACGAATCACTTACTGCTGGTTCGTAGGGAATGAAGGAGTGAGGTGCCAATTCCCCCTGTATATACCCTTTAAAGGATTATGTAGGGTACCCTCTATCCCCTGTATGTACCCGTTTAAGGAATTCTATATGGTACCCTCCTTCCCTCATTCCCTACTAACCAACAGTAAGCTAAGCCGCATGCCAAGGGCGGAAGATGAACTTGGGAGGGATGAGTGTGTCACATGTGTCGAGAACAAGTGGGCGCTTTTGTGTGTAAGCAAGGGTTTAGGGGTTTAGGGGTTTAGGGGTTTAGGGGTTTAGGGTTTAGGGTTTAGGGTTTAGGGTTTAGGGTTTAGGGGTTTAGGGTTTAGGGCTTAGGGTTTAGGGTCTAGGGTTTAGGGCGAGGCAAAAGTCAATGGTTCGCTGCTTTGGACCGCGACTTGAAGCCCGCCAGTGGTGATGTTCTCGCATGTTGGGGTGCGTGGGTTTTTTGTGTTGATCTCGAGTCTGTTGTTCATCAGAACGTTCAGACTCTCATGAAGACGGGCACAGAACTGTAACGGCAGTGCTCATCCCAAACCACGAAGCCAAGCTGTCAGTTCACAGCAACAAAGCAAGACAGCCACCAAATCATGAGGACAGTGCTGACTGCTCACCCCCCCGGGTGGAGGATTTTATGGTTTAGATAGGGTTTAGGGTTCAGGGTTGTACCTTGGTATTTCCTTGTGCTAACCAGAAACCTGGAAGCCCTACGCGACCCCGCCACACATCCCAAACCACGGCTCCCTCCGCAGAGACTTCTTTGTGCTTGAGACAATGATATTCTTAGTAGTAGAGTAGGTAACCTTTAACCTTTTTGGGTTAATATATTCCCCTTATATTCCCAAAGGTTAACCTTTAAAACCCCTAGGTACTGGACAACTGAGTATTAGGGCCACCCCCCCACGATTCCCTGCTCACTTGGCGGCGCTGCCACGCCATGTTCGCGATTGTCCAGACTCACGCATTGACATGCCAAACCCTTTGGCTCACTTACTCTTCTCAAAAGAACGTCCCGAAAGGCAAAACCCTAAACTTCTGCCCCCCTTTGCAGGTCGCGGCTCTCACTTCACGACTTTTCTGGATTTGGACAGCCTCACCGACCTAACCTTGCTCTTCTCTTACGTGAGTATCTTTGGACTTCATATCGAAGAGGGTTGAGGGCTTTTTGGGCGTAGGGTTTTGGGGGGCTCTCTTGAGGTTGTCTAGTCTTTCTGTGTCGCTCGAACAGTCGAATTAGAACATGGCCATGGATTTTTCAAAATCACATGTTTAGGGTTTAGGGTTTAGGGTTTAGGGTGCAGGGTTTAGGGTTTAGGGTTTAGGGTGCAGGGTTGAGGGTTTAGGGTTTAGGGTTTAGGGTTTAAGGATGGAGGCAGCACCAAAACACGTCAGGTACGCAGGTGCGTACCTTCGTCATTCTTGGAAGCCCAGGAGGGGACTGCTCGAAATTCGGTCCGTCCCTGTCGGACCGCTTTTCTTGGAAGCACCGTTTTTGTTGGTTGGCTTTTTTTGTTGCTCTCTCTCTCTCTCTTCTGATTGTCCTGGGTATAAGGGAATACCAAGTGATGTAGCTGGTGCTACAGGGAAGTTCCTTGAGGTTTCGGGTTTTAGGGGGGCGGGTGTTAACCGCCCTAAACCCTAAACCCTAAACCCTAAACGGGTTTTCGAGCAGCCTCCTGCGGAGGCGTCGTGGCTCGCAAGTGGTGCCTCGGTGAGATGGCCACGGCCAGGCTGTCGAACGTCACTTCGGTGCTTGTGAGCCTTGGTTTAGGGTTTCGGGTTTAGGGCTTGGGTTTAGGGTTTAGGGATAAAAGGTTCTTAAGGGAGGAGCTTCAAGGGGGGCAGGCAACCCAAGGCTCTCTCACACTACCTACTACCATTCCCTAAGGCTCCCTAAGCTTCCCGAATGTTTCGTAGGTACCTACCCCCCCCGAACCACCCTAACCCTAAACCCTAAACCCTGAACCCCGCTCCCGTAAGAACCCTATAACCGTCCGTTAAGACCCCTAGAAGGGTAGCCCAGAGGTACCCCCCTTTGTGCGTCTTTGTTCTTGTTGGTTCGATGCTTTCTTCTTAAAGTAACCAGCTCGAACTACAAGGTTTGGGGTTTAGGGTTTAGGGTTTAGGGTTTAGGGTTTAGGGTTTAGGGTGAGTACAACATGGTTATGGGTCAGCCCTAAGGAGTCTGCCGGACTTCAAACTCCCCGACGAAATCTTCATCAAGCAGATTGCCACTCGCGTGCCTGACATCCTCGACCTTACAACCTATGGTTATGGAGTGTCCGAAGTGAAGGCCACTCTGCGCTGGCTTGCGTCCCTGAAACTCATTGCGATGGAGAAAGTTTCTGCAGTGAGTGTGGGGCAGATGGTGGGCGAGTTGACTGGCAGAGGTGTGAAGAGCAACAACGCAGTGCTTCGAAGCGAGGGTGCTTGCATTGTGGTAGACCATGAACCTAGATCCCCCTTGGGACTTACTTTTTTTTTTTTTTTTTTTTTTTTTTTTTTTTTAATATTTTTGTTTATGTAAAACCCAAGAGGATATTGAAAAGATTGTTTTTATTAAGGTTCTAAGGGGAGTATAGGAACACCCAGAAGCCTTCGCATCAGCCCATGTGCTACAACGGCTCCTTGCCCCAATCATGATGGATCGGGGCATGCCTATCATGGTGCTACCTCTGGAAAATCCGCAGACCCAACTGGAGTACATCCAGCCATATTTCATGGTTTTGATGTGCTCCAGGAACTGCTTTGCTTCTCCCTATATCAAAGAGTGCGTGCTCAAGGCACGCTTTCTTCAGGCTTGCGCTGTCTTGCCCGTGATCTCGGACGAAGATTTCGTGTTGCACGCATCGGCGCCGGTCGTCGCCACAGACTGTGAGGATGGAGAGGCTTATCAGAGTGTCTTAGCAGTCGAGTCGGTTACCCTTTATCCTTTTTTTGGGTATATAACTATACTATACTCCCTGAAGTTACCTTTATCCTTTATGGTGTATATGTATCTATACTCCCCAAAACATCCCAAAAGGTTAACCTTTAGTTCCCCCAAGGATGCTGGACAACTGAGGTGTGCTTGCGGCCGTCTTCTTGGAAGTGGCTTACTTAGCCAATACATGGACTCTAAACTTTTTTGGGGTTTCCTGATTTTGTAGGAGTCGTGAAGTTTAACCTTTGTATTCCTTGCCCTAAACTCTAAACCCTAAACCCTAAACCCTAAACCCTAAACCCTAAACCCTAAACCCTAAACCCTAAACCCTAAACCCTAAACCCTAAACCCTAAACCCTAAACCCTAAAGTAAGGTGGCACTTCCTTTTCACACCCGGTCGAGCTCCGAGGAGGACCTGGCCATTCGAGCTTTGCACATCGGACGGCGGCTGGTGCTCGGAGCCTTCCAAACGCTTCGCTCCAAGTTGTGGCTTAGGCGTACTTGGGAATCATTCTTTGGGTTTAGGGTTTAGGGTTTTAGGGTTTAGGGTTTTAGGTCTAGGGTTTAGGGTTTGGGGTTTGGGGTTTGGGGTTTAGGGTTGAGGGCAATGTTGGGTACGATGACTCCCGAGAGACGTACTTTTCTGTAACTTTAGATCCTTACCTTTTTTGGGTTTATTGGGTTTCTTATTAAGGCAGCTAAAAGAGCCAAGAGTAGAGGTGGATGACGAGTGGAAGGCCCGAAAGTGACGACGAGTCATCGATGGGAGAGAGCCTTTGTAGCAGAGTGAGTGCACTTGACACTTTTTGGGATACTACAACCCCCCTATAAAACTGAAACTACGCCTTTACACTTTTTGGGATACTACAACCCCCTGTAAAGCTGAAAATATGCATTTTTTTTTTTGGGGGGGGTTATGAATCAAGCAACCAAGGAGCCCTGCCCAAGGCCAGCTGCATGGTCGTCTCGACGCATACCTCGCTGAAGAAGAAGACATGGTGACACTAAAATTTTGAGAGATCAGTAGGGTTTCTACCTTTGCCTTCTCCGTGGATTTTTGAAGACGTAGGATATGTACGCGTGTGATGAATTTAACGCGTGTGATGAATTTAACGCGGGTCAGTTCCCTAAATGGTACTGCCTTGTTGGGGTTACCCTGCATCTCGGGGTTTGCCTTGTAAAGGAACCCCAACAGGGACCGCTAAATTTAAACCCTGAACCCTAAACCCTAAAACCCTAAACCGTAAATCCTAAACCCTAAACCCTAAACCCTAAACCCTAAACCCTAAACCCTAAACCCTAAACTCTCATTTTAAGAAGCGACCTGTCCCAGCCCCGAAGGGGCATCTTGCAGAATGATTCAAGCGAGCAGGAGCCACAGCGGCTTTCGAAACAAGGGGGTTCAGGGTTTAGGGCTTAGGGGTTAGGATTTAGGGTTTAGGGTTCAGGGGTTAGCCCTTTATAGTCCCCATATAAGTATACTATAGTAAGCCCCGACAAACCCTGTTCTAATCTTTTGCCCCCCCCCCCCCCCCATATAGTCTTCGTAGGGAAGGAGGGAATGAGACACCCATCTTTAATCCCTTCTATAAGAGTACACACGTATATGTATGTGTGTATGTATGTATGTATGTATGTATGTATGTATGTATGTATGTATGTATGTATGTATGTATACGTATATAGATATACATATACAAAGGTTTGAGGGTTGAGGGTTTACAGTATATATATATATATATATATATGTATATGTTGGGGGATATCCGGTGCCTGGTTCCCTCATTCCCTACGAAGAGCCAGAAAGACAAGAGGGGGAGCTCCAAACCCTGAACCCTAAACCCTAAACCCTAAACCCTAAACCCTAAACCCTGAACCCTGAACCCTGAACCCTGAACCCTGAACCCTAAACCGGGGGTCAGCCCTGGGTTCTTCCCAAGGATGCTAAGGTTCACTTCCGGCAACCTTGTGCGGTTGTGGAATAGGGGTTTTGGGGCTTAGGGGTTATGGGGTTTAGGGTTTAGGGTTTAGAAGTTTTCGGTTTAGGGGTTGTGGGGTTTGGGTTTATGGGGTTTAGGGGACCATCCATTCGCCCTAGCATGCTTCATATAAGGGTCGGAATGGTTACTAATCGTCTTCCCTTATGGCTCCTTTATCATTGTACTAGAGTACCCCCTCAAAAACCTTTTTTTCGAGTTGTTAAGACCCCTATAGCACAGCAGCTTCCGGGATGTTCGTGTCACACAAGAGCAGCCGTTTCATGACCCCTCCACCAGGGCAACCTGGCTTTAGCTTGCTTTTGGCAAGAGCTCTCGAAGCTTTGCCTTTAAACCTCATAAGCCTGAACCCTAAACCCCTAAACCCCTAAACCCCTTAACCCCTTAACCCCTAAACCCCTAAACCCCTTAACCCCTTAACCCCTTAACCCCTAAACCCCTAAACCCCTAAACCCCTTAACCCCTTAACCCCTTAACCCCTAAACCCCTAAACCCCTCAACCCCTAAACCCTTAACCCCTCAACCCCTCAACCCCTCAACCCCTCAACCCCTAAACCCTAAACCCTAAACCCTAAACCCTAAACCCTAAACCCTAAACCCCCCATTCTCCTAAGTTCGGCCTCAGCGGCCGGCTCCGGGGCGCCGCGCTGGCGCCCGCGCCTCGCCGCGCGGCGGAGGAGGACGGCGGTTGGCTCCGGGTGGTTTTAGGGGCTGTTTAGGGTTTAGGGCTAGGATTTAGGGTTTAGGGTTTTAGGGTTATTGTTTAGGGTTCAGGGTTTAGGTGTTTACAGTTTAGGTACATTTTTTGTCGCGAAGAACGCGCTATTCCCCACCGAAATTTGGCTCCTGGACGCATTTTTTGCATGCCCTGAGAGCATCATTGACTCTGTTTTTTAACTTCTGCCGAAGATGCGTTGTTGATGTTTTTTTGGGGGGGGGGGGGGCATCGGCCACCTCAAAGGACCCCCGCAAGAGCGCGCATCATGAGCATCAGCGGGTTGGGTCTCGGGTTTCGGATGCGGCTGCGAGCTTGGAAAACGCAGAAAACGCTGTAAATACCGCGGTTTTCGTGCTGTTACGGACATTTCCGTTTTGAGGCCTGTGATGCTCATGATGCGCGGCCGGGCGGGGGGCCAGGGGTGCGCATCATCGGGGGATTCGGGGGCGAGCGTCGGCAGCATCAGCGGCTCGCGGGAGGGGGGGGGGGAGGGGTTTTGCTTTGGGAGCTGCCAATGCCTCTGCCCGCTACTCTTGGGGGCGCTGCCCGCCCCTGGGCGTAGATCCTTAGAATCCGGCCCCCGCGGCACCGGGCCTTCCTTGCACCCTCGCCTTTGTGCCGGTTGCCCCAGGCCCATCTGGGCCTTTCTGCCTTTCTACCTGTGGCTGTTTTTGTGAACCTGAACCAGGCTGGCGAGACGGAATGAAGAAGCTTTATGGAAAGTAAGCAGTTGGCTTGAGTTTAGGCCTAAACCCGAAAAGGACTAGGTTTGGGTGGCTTTGCCGCCTCGGACGGCGTGGGGTGGGAGAAAAATGTTAGATGGCCTTCCACAATCGGGCCAAAGCTGCTCTTCGCGCCTCACGAAGCTTTCGATCTTGTTTCAAAACCTAACCTTCACAGCATCTACGCCCTATCACAGCAAACCCTAAACCCTATAAGCCATAAACCCTAAACCCTAAACCCTAAACCTCTCTATCATAATGAATTTAAACCCTAATTCAAAAGTGGGCAACGGTGATTTTCGGCTTCAAAAGTGGGCAATGGTGAATTTCCTGGCCTCAAAAGTGGGCAATGGTGAATTTCCTGGCCTCAAAAGTGGGCAACGGTGACTTTCCTGGCCTCAAAAGTGGCAACGGTGAATTTCCTGAAAGTGGGTAACGGTGACTTTCCTAGCTTCAAAAGTGGGCAATGGTGAATTTCGGCTTCAAAAGTGGGCAATGGTGAATGTCCTTTTCCCCGAGTTTTTTCAAGGTTTTTCAAGGTTTTTCAGAGTTTTTTCAGTGTTTTTCAAGGTTTTTCAATGTTTTTCAGGATGTTTCAGGGCTTTTAACCTTCAATTCTGATGAAGGGCCGCCCCGCGACCTTTTCACAGCCTAGTTTTGGTCAGGGGGGGGGTCGTATTTTGCAATTTTAAAGGCAAAATAGTCTTCGGAGGCCCCCTTGCCTCAAACTCCGACCCCCCTTGAGAGGGAAAGTTTGCCTCCAAAAACACCCAAATGAGGGGGGGGGCCCCAGGATCGGCGCAGGTCCCAGTTAAAAATGCGATTTTTTAGTACTGAAATCGACGGTCGTTTTCTGGATTTTTGACCAAACCGAGCCTTCACTTCAAGTTTTTCAAGGTTTTTCAGAATTTTTCAATGTTTTTTCAGGTTTTTCAAAGTTTTTCAGTGTGTTTCAGGATTTTTCCTTCCGTTCTGATGAAGGACCACCCCTGCGACCTTTTCACAGCCCAGTTTTGGTCAAGGGGAGGTCGCATTTTTCAATTTTAAAAGCAAAATAGTCTTCGGAGACCCCCCCTTGCCTCAAACTCCGACCCGCCTTGGGAGGGAAAGTTTGCCTCCAAAAACACCCCAAATGAGGGGGACCCCAGGATCGGCCTGGGTCCCTATTTAAAATGATTTTGAAGTACTGAAATCGACGGTTCTGGGTGGCCTCTCGTTTTCTGGATTTTTGACCAAAATGGAGCCTTCACCGATAGGGGCTTTTAAACCGTAGGGTTTAGGGCCCCACAACTAACTACTGGAAATGTATTGAGTGAACTTTGTATTTTCTCAATGTTATGGGTTTCTTGGGCGGGTGGGTTTTTTTTCCAACGCTTGACAAGCTGCTTGACTAGTGAATGCTCGGACTTGAGATGCTGAACCCTAAACCCTAAACCCTAAACGCGAAACGCTAAACCCTAAACCCTAAACCCTAAACCCTAAACCCTAAACCCTAAACCCTAAACCCTAAACCCTAAACCCTAAACCCTAAACCCTAAACCCTAAACCCTAAACCCTAAACCCTAAACCCTAAACCCTAAACCCTAAACCCTTCCCCCTTGGGAGACCTTCGTCGCCTCCGCTCTCAGCTTCGAGGCCCTCGCTTCGACACCTTCCTACATTTTAGGGCTAGTACCTTTAAACTTGAGTTAGGGTTTAGTGTTTAGGGTTTAGGGTTTAGGGCTAGTAGGGTTTGAGATTTAGGGCTAGTAGGGTTTTGGGTTTGCGGTTAGTCGAATTTGCCGAGTTCGTAGGATAGCAAGGTTCAGGGTTTGAGGTTTCTAGGGTTTGTAGGGTTGAGTTGAGTTTCCAGGGTTGGGGAAGCAAAGGCCTACACGGTCCGAATACGGCCGTACTTAAAGACTAGGGTTTAGGGTTATGGGGCCTAGGAGGCTTGATTAGGTAGGCTCGGCTAGGGGTTTAGGCGTTGAGGCTTAAGGGTCAAGAATTTAAAGTTCAGGATTTACCTAGACCCCTCCACACGCGCACCACCCCCCCCCCCCCCCCCCTTGCCCCCCTCCCCAACTACCTTCAATAAAGGTTCCAGGGCCCTTAGTCCTAGGTCTCCTCAACGGTCCTATTTGGGGTTAAATTCTTACTGCTTGGCGAATGTCTTTGCGAGTCATGAAACTTGCCAGAACTATGCCCCCAGTGCAGGGGGGTATTGAGAAGCTCAACCCCAAACCCTAAACCCCAAACCCTAAACCCCAAACCCTAAACCCTAAACCCTAAACCCTATGCCACACGTCCTTCGGCCTGGACAGCTAGTCCAGCATGCACATTGCTTGAGTGTCGAGCGTCCCGGCTTCGTGCCATGAGTGCTTCGACATGGTGATGTACTTCCCGCGGTTTAGGGCTTAGGGTTTAGGTTTTAGGGCTTAGGGTTTAGGAAGCCTTAAACCCTGCCCGAATCCGTAGCCATTTTGGCTCAAGTTGAAGGGGCACGACTGCCGTGGGGAAGCGCGCTGCAAGCCCTCAGCTCGACGCCTTTGCATTCGGCATCACGGCCTTGGAGGCCCTCCTGACCCCGCAAGCGGACC